AAAAGTCCCAGAAACTCCTTAACAGACTTCTCATCTTTTTTTGTCTGGGTCAGTGGAAATTAAGAAATCTCAATATTTGACAGAGGGTCATGGAATAGCCATGAGTGGCTTCCACCAGTCAGGAGAATGGGTTTGGAGTAGATATGAATTGTGCTTGCCACTTAGTAACGCTCAGGGTGTTCTGCTGTGACCACCTTCAGAATTTTGATACTTAGAAAATTACTGTTTAGGTTAGGTTTATCTAAGATAAATTTTTGGATATAGTTTTTCAATATGATATTTGGTTTAAATGCAAAATTTATTTTTTCATGGAATCTAATTTCGTACACTGTTTGCCTGATAGACATTTCTTATTTATATATTGCTTTAATTGTCTAAGGTAGTATATTTTAAATAGATTTGCACGTAACCTAGTAAGGTGTCTGTTGTTAGGTAAGGTTTAGTTACGTGATTATAATGTGCTGCATGATTCCATATAATTGTGGTTGAATCTTTTCAACTCTGTGTAATTTTTCAGAACATGAATGAAGCCTCTTCTCTGCTTAGTGCCACATGTAATACATTCATCACAACGCTTGAGGAATGTGTGAAGATAGCGAATGCCAAGTTTAAACCTGAGATGTTTCAGCTGTCCCATCCGGATCCCTTGGTTTCCCCTGTGTCGCCTTCTCCTGTTCAAATGGTTGGAACTTGTTTTTCTTCCAGTGATGTTGCATTTTTGTTTTTGTTTTTGTTTTTGTTTTTAAAGATGGAAACTGGCAGTGGAGGGAAATGGTCAACAGATAGAATATTCTGTATTGTAGCCTCTTAGCTCTGTGGGCTCAGCATGTGCCAAGGTCCTGTCCTCTTCCCTTGGAGGGACTGTGCCATTTACCCCAGAGTGCCAGAAATATATTATAATGCTCTGTGGGTGTTGTGACACAGAAAAGGTTGGGGACAGTGCTCTACTCGGTAAAAACATCACAATGGGGTGATGTTTTACTCACAAAGGAATAAAATTAATCAGATCTTTAAAGGAGTTTGACAGGGGTTTGAAAGAACATGTTACAGGGAAAACAGTATTTTATAGTCCATATTTGGACTTGAGCCCTCTGAGTAGGCAAGTTACTTAATTTCTCTGGACCTCATTTTCTTCATCTATAAAATAAAAGGTCTTCTCCATCAGCAGGTCATTGCAAAGGAGCTGATCTGTGTAATGCAGGTGCTTCATGTCAGTTTCTTTCCTTGTGATCGCTCTGAACGATTACCCTTTGCCAGGGGTGGTGAACTCCTTGTCCTTTCCAGGTTAATAAACTTGCCCAGGCAAGCTGTAGGGAACTCATAGGTGAGACAGAGTCTGATGAGACTTTACATTTCTTTCATCCAAGTGTTTTCGGGAGCCCTTTTATAGAAGGAACAATACCACTTGGCTACTACTTTAGCAATTACCTGAAGGCATATTTGTTAGAAGAAGGAATTGGGTACAACTCATTCCGAGGTTCTCTTAACCACGCCAGCCAATTTAGTTATATGAGATTTAGTAAAGATTATTACCTACGTTTATTTAGATCATCATTTTCTTTTTTTTTTTAATGTTTATTTATTTTTGAGAGAGACAGAGAAAGAATGCGAGTGGGTTAGGGGCAGAGAGAGAGGGAGGCACAGAATCCAAAGCAGGCTCCAGGCTCTGAGCTATCAGCACAGAGCCTGATGCGGAGCTCGAACTCACAAGCTGTGAGATCATGACCTGAGCCGAAGTCGGATGCTCAACCGACTGAGCCACCCAGGCGCTCCTAGATCATCGTTTTCTAATCAATGTATGATGGGCTAATAATGTCCTCTGAGACAGGTATACTATGAAAATGAGTTTTATGGGCAGATTAGTTTGGGAAGTTCTAAATGGGTCTGTCACTGGACATCTTAGAATCTCTTTTATGATAATGTGTATTATGAATCTCTGAGGAGAGGTGGTGTGCGTTGTTTCTGAAATTTATTTGACAAGTGAACCCTTCCTGTGTATTTTTAAATAACAGCTCACAAGACTGTGGTGTTCAGTAGAACATTTTGACAATATTGCCTTATAACACAACTGTAGATACGTTATGAACTGTGAGATAACCTGTATGGTTGAATAACAAGAAAAGGTCTTTTGAGGTGGGTGTATATATAACACTGTGTTCCTGAAGTTGATATATAAGGTGTCAAATACAGACTTCACTACAAATACTACTATGTTTGACCTTATAGAATCAAATGCAATAAAGCCACCTCAAAACTGCCTGTTTTTGTACTGAATTTCTGAGGAAAATGCCTTCTGTTATAAATGCTCCATAGTCCAGAGAGGTCATATGTGTATTTTATGCATAAGAAGCAATGATAACTGTTTCTTTTAAACCAAAACTTTTTATCAGTAGCAATGTTACAGGAAATCCAATAGGTTAATCTAAAAAATACTGGTTAGAGGCTGTTTATTTTTCCTTGCTTTGCCATTTTACTTCATACATAAAGCAAAAGTTGTGGCTTATGAGAATTAGTTCTGGAGACACAGATGGAAAAAAAGGTCAGTCTTTGTGGGAAAATATATATATTTTTAATAATATGAGGAAATGGGAAATAAACCTGAAAGATTTGAGAATTCTAAAACTATTAAAACTCATTGTTAAACTACTTTATGTAGCTAATATCAGTGTGTCCCTCTTAGAATAAATTTGCATTCAGTCTTATTTCAGGTCATAATGGAAGTTCAGAAAATCATCATTTTGACTCCAGACTGAGTGATAATTGTAGTGGTGATGTCATTGGATTAGTAATCCCGAAGGGAGTGACTTCTGTTAAAGGAGATGTTAATGTCCATTTGTATCTTAATGTCAATCATATTAGATGTTCTGGACTACAAAATGGGTTGGTCATATCTGTTATCATTTCAGCTGGGATTTCTCAGAGCTATTGTTGGCTTACATTACAAATACAGCAGCCACTTATTTACATAACAGACTTTAGACTTGGACTGGTAAGACCCTTGAGCCCCTGCATATAAATATAAAAGCAACCTGTAGTATAAACTGTGCTTTTCTGCTACCTTGCTAAACATTGAAATAATCTGTTTTAATTGGTGGTCTCTTTCTATTTTTTTGGTGGAGTCATTGGATCTTTTAAATTGTGTTTAGTATTTGTCATATTTATTAACACTCTGCTCATTCAGGTTTTTTAATTTTTAAAATGTATGTTTTAGAGACTTGAGACTTAGGGTTCTTCTGAGTTCTTAAAAGACTCAGATTATTAATGCTATCTTCCACAAAAACCACACTTTAGAACATCTGTATAACAGCTACCTGAATAATGAATTACAAAGAGAAGCTTTGCTACCAGCCTCTTTTCCTGGCCTTTAAGAAAAAGAGAGAGGAAGATATTTATTAGAATACTTTCTGGCTTGCTAGATACTGCTTTAAATAGTATGATTTTTTTGGATTAGTTATATATTTTTAAAATATTTTTATATACATGCACTCACATATGCACACATATATATGATATATGTTATGTATATGATGTAAAATTTGGTTTTTAGTATTGAGAAAAGAATCTAGCATGTTTTTGATAGGTGTTGAGAAAGATTCCAATTAATTGTTATTAGGGACAAAGCTTGACATTGTGCTAATAGTGTTGCTTGAGTCTGTAAAAAATAAATATCTTGGGCTAGTCATCTTTTTTTCGGAGTAAATTTGTGTTAATTATGATAATGATAATAAGAGCTGTATTCTACTTCGCATACTAATTATGCTTATTTTATTTTAAATTTCTAGATGAAGCGTTCTGTCAGCCACCCTGGTTCTTGCAGTTCAGAGAGGTAAAATAATCTTTTCTTTTAACCAAGTACTCTCAGAAATTTACCTACTTAGGGAAATTCTTTGGGCCTTTAATGTGAAGTAGTGTGGAATGGAAACTCTTTTTGAGCAGAGCTTGGTTCTGATTTGCTCAGCATTATATCTCTTAGTTACTAGTTTAGGGCCTGGTCCTAGTAGGTAGTCAGTGAAGATAAAAATGAGTGGATGAATTAACCAGCAAGGTAAGCACCTTGCCGACTATTGTACCTTTTTTAGATGTTTGAAATTATATCAAATGATGGTAAAAAAAAATCCAGTTTTGAGGTGAGCTTAGACTCACTTTACTACAGCTTTTTATAGTCACATATTCATGCTGATCTGTTGTTTACGAATTAAAGATCTTACTGAAAAGAGAGAAAAACCAATTGATATTTTAAAGTATATATGCATATGAACACATTAAGACATTTGCCTTCTAGATAGATCTCGCCAATATCCCAGGTTATTAAAATGTTCATTATCTTAAATTTTTTTTTTTTTCAACGTTTATTTATTTTTGGGACAGAGAGAGACAGAGCATGAACGGGGGAGGGGCAGAGAGAGAGGGAGACACAGAATCGGAAACAGGCTCCAGGCTCTGAGCCATCAGCCCAGAGCCTGATGCAGGGCTCGAACTCACAGACCGCGAAATCGTGACCTGGCTGAAGTCGGATGCTTAACCAACTGCGCCACCCAGGCGCCCCTGAAATGTTCATTATCTTAGTAGATAATAGTCTTTCAAGTTGCCCTAGTTGTCATATTTGGTTCTTCGGACAATGATGAAATTGTAGTGACATTAGCTTTATTTCTCTATGTTAAGAATAACTGCCGGGGCACCTGGGTGGCTCAGTCAGTTAAGTGTCCCGACTTTGAATCACATCATGATCTTGCAGTTCGTGGGATCTAGCCCCGCGTTGGTCTCTGTGCTGACAGCTTGGAGCCTGGAGCTTGCTTCAGATTCTGTGTCTCCTTCTCTCTCTGCCCTTCCCTCATTCTCTCTCTCTCTCTCGTTCTGTCTCTCTCAAAAATAAATAAACATTAAAAAAAATTTAAAAAAAAAAGAGTAAGTGCGGCACCTAGGTGGCCCCAGTTGGTTAAGCATCTGACTTTTGGTTTCTGCTCAGGTCATGATCTCACACTCATAAGTTTAAGACCCGTGTCAGGCTCTGCACTGATAGTGTAGAGCCTGCTTGGGATATTCTCTCTTTTCCTCCCTCTCTGACCCTCATGCTCATGCTCTCTCAAAAAAACAAAAAACAAACAAACAAAACTCTTAAAATAACTGTTAACTGAGCCCTTACTGTTGTTTTGTCACTGCCCCCCCCCCCACCTCCATGATTATGTAATCTGTGATTGGACTATTATGTGCACAGAGTCCAGTGATGAATATATGTATCCAGTCCTGTCAGGGAATAAAGAGTTTCACTAGCTGAATTTTCCAGAAAAATAGAAGCTTGATTCCTTTTATAAACTTTCATTTTTATGATAGAAATTTTTCTGAACTGTATTTTATCTTTTCTACCTAATTAGATAAAATATAATTAGAGTTAAAAAAATTTTTTTTCGTAATGAATCAAGATTATCATTAAGAACAGTAATGTTGGGTTTTTATACAGTGGTAGCCAAGGTGCTGTTGAGTGGTGGTGGTTTATTTCTATATTAAATATTTTAGATTGACTTGTCTACTTTTCTGATTTTCTAGACTGTTTTTTAAAATAGTTTTTACGGCCTCCATTTGCCACATTTATTTGTTCTTGCTGCTGTCAGTGAGTTGACGTCTAGCATGTTCCTAACCTACTTGCCCACCCCCTTCATTCTGCTTTTTTGATGATATGGATTGACACTAGATTCATGCACTTGTGTAGGTCATAACTTCTAGTTTTCAAACATTTGTTAACCATCTGGTATATCTAATGTCTTGGTGGACCCTTCTGTATAAAAGAAGTTGCTTCATGGTTCCCCCTTTCCATTTAATTCGGCTCAGAGGCCATATTCTTCAGGTTACCGGCTGGATTGTGAATGATTTGACTTGCCTGTGGCGTGACCTTTGAAGGAGTCAAATGTTGCTAAAATAGAACTTTGGGCATAAAAATAGTTCTCTTTCATTTGAATAAGTCATGTAAAACTACAGGTAAGTTCAGGGTGTTATCATTTGTTTAAGGCCTTATGATGCAATGCTTTTTATTTAATTTGCAGGAATAGCCACTCTGTAAAAGAACCAATATCTACACTTCACCGACTCTCCCAGCGACGCCGAAGAACCTACTCAGATACAGACTCTTGTAATGATACTCCTCTTGAAGACCCAGACAGTAAGTTAAATGGGCCCTCTCTCTTTCTTTGGCTTATTCCCCCAAATTGTGGTGGGACTCTATGTGTGTTGTAGTCAATGAAGGACACTGACAGTGAACACTGTCTTTTCCCTTTGGATTAATTCCTTAATTCAGAGCCAGGCAAATAGCACACAATCAACAGAAGCTCATAATATCCTCCTACAGACACCTTTATTATTAACTAAAAAGTGCTGAGTAACTGTGTAAATGCCATATCTTAGATTAATATGTATAACATCAAACTGTTTTCTTCCCACTATATTTTAGTAATCTCTTAGTAATGTTCTACTCCCACTATATTTACATTAAAAAAGCGTTTTAGAACAAAGCATCAATTGTGGTTGGGATTCTAGGGGAAAATAAAGGCAAGTTCTGAGTGCAGAGAAAAAAAAAATCGGTATTATTGCTTAAATAATTTGAAATGGCCAAGGAAAATAATTTTTTCTGGTGGTGGTGGTGAATTATGGTAGCATTTATTCCTATGCCCTTTTCTCCTTTTTTCTTTAAAGAGCAGCATCCTGTGATTGAATACTTTAGGCAAGGTTTTATGATTTAGGTTAAAATGTATTTTTCTCTTCCAAGAAAAAGCTTTGAAAATGTGTCAGAATATCTAGTTAGACAGTAGTGACCATGATTTCCAGTGAACACAAATAGAGTCTTATTATTACAGCTCTATTAATATACTTTTGCTTTTCAGGGTCTTTACTATTGCCCATGAAGCATGTGTGATGGAAATTACATAGAGTTCCTATTTGGGGGGCAGGTTGTGTTCCAGGAGTTTGTAAGTCTGTTGTTGGGAACAGATTTTATTTCCCTTCTGGAAATGGTGTGATAAGTGGTGTTTAGATTCTTTAGGTTGTCTAGAAGAGCTCAGCTAATTCACATTGATTAGGATAGAATTGTTTCACTGAACCAGAAGGTTAAACAGGTTTAATTAGAGGAGAATGTAGAGTTCACGAAAATGGTGGAGGTTGGAGAGGGCCTGCTGCCCATTTTCAGATTTTTAGGAGTTGATGGCATCTTTTTTTTTTTTTTTCAATGTTTATTTATTTTTGGGACAGAGACAGACAGAGCATGAACGGGCGAGGGGCAGAGAGAGAGGGAGACACAGAATCAGAAACAGGCTCCAGGCTCTGAGCCATCAGCCCAGAGCCCGACGCGGGGCTCGAACTCACGGACCGCGAGATCGTGACCTGGCTGAAGTCGGACGCTTAACCGACTGCACCACCCAGGCGCCCCCTTTTTTTTTTTAAGTCCATTTTCTTCACAGAACTATTTATTGACATAGAGGACTACTCTACACTCGTTGCCATTTTTAACTCAAGTTGAGGAAATGGGTAAAAGAAATGAAGGAAGGAAAATGGGTGAGGGTGGGAAGGGGAAGGGAGAAAGTAACTTTCCTGGGCCAATTTAGTACAACTTGAAAGAGATAAGAGGAAGAGGGTTAGGGGTTAGGTGTGGGAAGAAAAATTACTGGGGGCAGGTAATGTATATTCTGATATACCTTGTTCTTTCTGCCTTGTATACATGACCCTTTTAATCTAGAGCCCATGAAAGAGCTCTATATGCTGCCTTGTACTTTTCTCTGGATGCAGCTCTTTTTTACTTTATGGGGATCATTTTTATTTGTGACAGTGAAAATAATTTTTTTAAAGCTAGCCATTTTTCTTTGCTCTCTTTTTAAGCACGCTGGTTTTGAATTTTTTTTTTAAGTTTATTTATTTATGAGAGACAGACAGAGAGCAAGCTTGTGGGGGAGGGGCAGAAGGAGAGGGAGAGAGACAATCCCAAGCAAGCACCATGCTAAGTGCAGAGCCTGAAGCAGGGCTCAGTCTCATAATTGTGAGATTATGACCTGAGCCAAAAATCGAGGTGGATGCTTAACAGACTGAGCCAGCCAGGCGCCCCTTAATTTTTTTTTTTTTTTTAAGTAGGCTGCATGCCCAATGTGGGACTTGAACTCATGACCCTGAGATCAAGAGTCGCATGCCCTACCGACTGAGTCAGCCGGGCACCCCTGGTTTTGAATTTTTGAAAACAATTTTTATAAGTTCTGAGTATGCATGCCTTATTCCATGTAGCATTCCCCTAGTTAGCTGCTAAGGAGTGTAACAAAAGTAGTCACACATATCTGCACAAACATACACACATGCATACATATTTATATACATACATGTGTCTCAGTTCTCTAGAACTTTTTTTAAATTGGGAAGTGTAGCCTAGGTCAGAAGTTTTATCCTTAGGTTTCCTGCTATTTATCCTAAAGTTTAGTGTCTCAGTTAGTTTACAGAGCAGAGACTGAATTACTGTTCTTCTTTACAAAGTACATGTTTTACAGTTGGGTGGTCTTAGTCCGAAGCCTTTATCCCCAGATATTCTTTTCCTGGAGAGATAAAACTGCTTCTATTATTTATTAACTGGATTTTTAAAAATTATAGAAGTAATAAATGTTTATGGTAAATTCAAATAAATATGTACATATAAAAGTGCAATTGTTTTGCAACAGGGCCATGCCAGTGTGTTTAACTGTATTCAGTCGGAACTGCAATGATAGTTCTGTCAGCTGCATTCCAAGTGGAGATATGGGACCTTTCAGTGTGAAATACCTTGTCAGCTCTGCTCAGAAAGTCTTGTGGTAAAAAGAGCAAACCTGAATTAGTCCTAGTTCTGTTACCAGTTGGGTAATCTTGGGTTAGGCATGTAACCTTTTTGGGTCTTTTTTTTTTTTTTTTTTTTAACCCTAGAACACAAGGAGGATACGGACAGCATTAAAACAAATCAGGCCTGAAAAGCAATGGTTAGCTAAGAAAGACTACATTCAGTTCAGCACATGTTTATTGACTGCCCATTACATGCCAACCGTGGTTCTAGCAGTGAACAAAACCGTCTCTGCTCCAGATAGCTTCATAAGTTATTTTGTTAACTCCGAAGCTTCTCCTTATGACTGCCAATAGTGGGAAAGTTAGATTTTTCTCTATTCAACAGTCAACCAAAAAATTAGTAGGAAGCTGAAGGAATTTCATGTCCCTGAGTAGGAAATTTAAAATTGTTTTTTTCGTAAAGAACTGGAGTTATATTGATAGGCTGTTTAACCTTTTAATTTATCTCTGAATAGGACCTGTTCACTGTTCAAGAAATACACTTAATGGAGATTTGGCATCAGCAACCATTCCCGAGGAAAGCAGACTTATGGCCAAAAAAAAATCTGAATCGGAAGATCCTCTTCCATCCTTCTCTTCCTGAGGAAATGGAAGTGTCCAACTTCCTCTAAGTATTGCTATGCAAAAGCTGCTGTAATTAAACTATGTTCTAGGGAGTAGTTTTTCCCTTAGGATTTCTCTGCACTTTATAGAATACTGTAAAACAAACAAACAAAAAAACAACCCACATACCTTTGAAGTGTATTTTATCTTTATATAGTTTATTTGCAAGAGTATTTTCCTAATAACTTCACAGTATGAATGTGCATCTTTTTTTTTTTTTTTTTTTAAACAAATGATGGTGTAACATTTTGACATCCATAAGGACAAATGTAGATATTTTTCTAAAAAACTGTGAGGGACTGACAGCTTAGTCAGGGTGTATTGTAGCTTATAAACATGAAATCTTATAAACATAAGGTTTCAGTTTGACAGACGTGTGATATATGTAACTTGTGCCATGGACCAAATGGTCACTTTACCCCAGCTAAAAATGAGTTACGATAGCAGCTTGATGGTGATTCTGTTGTATTCTTTTAAGCAAAAGGAGACATTTAATATTCCAAATATTTTTAGCCCAAATACCGTGACACATTGAGGATTTTTTAAAAACCAGACTGTGCTGTCCTTCATATGTGAAGTTGACACTACTGATTTGTCAGTACCAAATGTTGGGTTAAAGTATTTAACTTTTATTTATTTATTTTTCCGTTGCATCAAAAAATGATTGCATCCTGACTTTTATGACCTACCAAATTTAAGATGTGTATACATTTGTTATTTACATTGTTCTAGAAAAGAGGTTAATGTTGTAGTGACCTTGCTCACTTACACCAGAGAAATAAACGCCTTTCAATGGAAGAGGATTTTAGTGCTTTTTTCCTAAAATAGACATTAAGCTGCTGTTGTAAGGTATTAATGTTTGCAGCTCTTTAGACTAGCTAGAGACATTTTTTATTTATGACTATTTATACAAAAAAGGAATTCTGTCAAAGTGACCACTCTACATCACTTGAGAATGGCATTATTTAATTAAAGAACAAATAGCATTTTTTGGTAGTGCCTGTCCATACCTCTTGTCAGTGTTTGCCTTGTAAACTGTTTTTTTAAAAAAATTCACTTTGGAGTGATGGTTTTGTCCAAGGTCTTGGATGAGGAGCACTTTAAAACAAACTGGTTTGGTGTTTTTAAGTTAATCACATGTTTAATAAATATATGGTTTTTGCATTCAAACGTATCATATAATACATTGTATTTTTTACATTGTTGATATTCTGTCTGATCTTTATCAAGTGCTATTAGTATTCTTCATTGCTTTGATTTTGTTTGTATATTTGGACCGCCTAGTGAATACACAAATGAGTCATATTTTTAGTTTTGTTGCCTATGAGCTTAGAATAGTGTGGCCTGTTTCACTTTAAATTTCTCTTGTAGGTTTATGTGGGAAGTTTTTTAAACAGTTAATATTTGGTATTTACTTCACTAAAATAAATCTGTAATTGTAAGTTTAAAATGGACACAATCTAAATATATTAATATGCATTGCTGCTTAAAAGTATTTGTGACTTTAAGTAGCACACAGGTCATTAGGCTAGATTAAGTGGAATTTTTCCATTCGTATGTTGTACTTCATATGTCGAATTTGAGAAAAGTTTAATAATGTAGTAAGTTTCATGTTGAGTGAGTAATCAGACTTTTTCCTTTTTTTTGTGGTAGTAAGAATTTGCATAGTGACTAGATAATGAAAGTCAAGGTGCTACTGATAGGGAGTTTTTCAGGTAGGTACTTTTTTTGAACCAGTAGGTTTATAATGAAAATACTATAACAAGCTTTTGAACTCATAGGAAACAAATCCATTTTTTTATTGCTTTATCCAAAAAGATGAGTTCCTGAACAGTTTTCTGTAAATATTTTTTAAAATAAAATGCTATCATTTCTGGTTTGTATCATTTTTTTCCCCCTTGAAACAGGTGCTTTGAACAGGTGTGCCATATTCCTAAGTATGGCTTTTATTGTTACTGGGACCTGCTTTTTCCCTTAGGAACCAACACATTTGTGAAATCATTTTTTGGGAGGAGTATAAATGTATCTTGAATTATGTCTAGGTTTTGATTAGTGAATTGATAGCATGAAGCAATCGATAAAGCTTCAGTGAACCTTGCATTTTGAGGAGCCCTGTGTATGTTCAAGTGTGCCTGACTTTTCTGAATTTTAAGAAAAAGATAAGCCAAATAAGAACAATCCTGTAAGAATTTTAGCTTGTCATAACTTTCTCTAATGTATAGGTAGTGGTTGTTCCTTTTTTGCTTTGTCTAGCTAGGCCTTGGGGTTATCGAGAAATTTGGAGACTGTTGGTATGTCATTGATCTTCTAACCAAAGCCAGTGCTTGCTTTTCTTTTCAAGTGCCTGATTTCCGTTGTGTGGGAATCCAGGCCTCCATGGTTAAAGTGACTTTGATGAGAATTGTTTTATAATTGGACTATTTTTGAATTCTCTTACATTACATTGAATTTATTGTATTACCTTCGATCAGGACAAGTTGAGAAATGGATGTTGTCACTTGAACTTAAATTCTAAAGCAGGAGATAAAGTATCTTCATTTGATAGTCACCATGGAACCTTTAACCCTGAATTGTAGTTTTTCACTGTGTATTATTACACTTAGTATTTAGAAATCACCATTAAGATCTCAGGAAATATATCTTTGTAATATATTAATATGATACTGCTGTTAACACTAATTCCACATACATTATTATATCATTAATTTGGACTGTACCAATTCTTCACTTCTTTTATTAAATGAAGTGCCTCCATGCCTGTCCTTTGAGCCTTGCTATTGCCACTTGGTACAGAGGGAGTGTTCTGGCCTGAAAGAAAGCCTGGGTAGACTGCAGGAGATCCTTCCAGGAGGTCTGTCTTTTAGTAGCCCAGGTGGGGCAAGGAAGTTGTAGCTGGTAGATAGGGTTTCCTTTTCATGTTTTTCCAGGTCCCCGGTTCTCCTTTCTTTGAATTCATACTGAATTTGTAAATTAAAAAAATTTTAGAAAAACTTTAGTTTTCTTTTTATTAAAGTAATTCATGTACATAGTTTAAAAAACCAAGTAGAACTAGAAGGCTTATAAAAAAAAAAAAAAAAAAGTCCTCCCTCTCCCCAGCTGAGTGTCCAGAGATGAGCACTTTCAACTCCTAGTGGTTTGTTCCTATTTGAAAAGATATTGTGTTACTTTTTCTTGATTTATCAATTTCAGAAATGCTTTCTTGAGTTCCTTTCATGTTAGGCAGGATTTTTCTTTTTTTTTATTTAAAAAATAATTTTTTTAACGTTTATTTATTTTTGAGAGACACAGAGAACGAGCAGGGGAGGAACAGAGAGAGAGGGAGACACAGAATCTGAAGCAGGCTTCGGGCTCCGAGCTGTCAGCACAGAGCCTGACATGGGGCTTGAACCCATGAACCGTGAAATCATGAACTGAGCCGAAGTCAGTTGCTTAACTGACTGTGCCACCCACGCGCCCCAGGATTTACTTTTCTTATATCCCTACCTCTCCCATATTTCTTTCCCATTTCTCCCACTACAAGTTAGCCACAGGTTTTTGTAAAATCAATAGCTATACAGTCAATTACCCCCCCCCCCCCCCCGCCAAATCTGCTGCTTTGCTTTCTGTGGTTTTGCTTTCTTTGGTTTCAGTTACCTGCAATCAGTCCCGGTCTGGAAGCAGATGATCATCCTCATACCATCAGGTCAGTAGTAGCGTAATACTTCATCTCAGCGCCTGTTTCATTCACCACACTTTGTCTCATCATGTAGGCATTTTATCATCTCATGTCATCACAAGAAGAAGGGTGAGTACAGTACAGTGAGATATTAGAGAAAGGGACCACATTCATACAACTTTTATTACAGTATATTATAATTGTGTTATTTTATTATTAGTTATTGTTGTTAATCTGTTACTGCATCTAACTTATAAGTGACACTTTATCATAGGTACGTATGCATAGGGAAAACCTAGTATATAAAGTGTTCAGTACTATCTGTAGTTTCAGGTATCCCCTGGGGGGTCTTGGAACATATCCCCCAGGGATAAGCTGGGGAACTACTCTAAATGTTGGTCACTAAGGAACCCCGTGGTGAACTATCATTATTTCCTCTCAACTATAACCTTATTTTTCCCTGAATTAATAATTACCTGATTTTAAAATTTGCTTAGTTTTTTATATTCAATTGCAAAGATTATTCAAAGGGTTAAATGCTCCAAAACATCATATAATCTATCAAATTCCTTTTTTTTTTTTTACCTTCGGGGACCTTTCTTCCACAATCCTTCATCTTCTGCCATCTGGACTGTTGTTCTCTAGGCCTGTGCATGGCTCAGCGGTCATTCTGGGACCTACTTTGTTTTTTAGTTTTATGTTGGATTTCCTGTTTATTGGATCCTATGACTTCCTATTTCTTGATTCACTGCCCCTTTTTTTTGCCAACGTGTATTCACTACTGAAAACTTCCTAGAAAAAAGTATGGCAAGCTAAAGACTTTGAGGCTTTACAGGTCTGAAAATGTCTCTACTCTTGAATGGTTGGTAGTTTGGAGTATATGTCGAAAATAATTTTTTCTCAGAATTTTAAAAGCAGTGCTCCATTGTCTTATTGCATTCATTATTTCTGTGAGAATTCTGAAACTATTCTTTCATACAGACCTGTTCTTTTACACTCTGGAAGCTTTTAGAGGCTCCTCTTTACCCCTGACATTTCATGATGTTGTGTGGGTCTTTATTCATGCCAATGGGTACTCAACTTGGTGGAGTCTTTCAATTTGTAGACTTGTCTGTTTCATTTCTGGGAATATTTCTGTGTTATCTTTTTCACAATTTTCTCTCCTCCAGTTTCTCCATCCTGTCTTTCTAGAATTTCTATTATTTGAATGGTGGAACTCCCAGATTGATCCTCTAATTAAAAAAATTTTTCCTCTCCGGTTGTTCATTGTGTTGTATTATATTTGTTCTTTTTGTTATCATCCAGCTCTTCCATTGATTTTTTTTTTTTTAGCTATGTATTTTAATTTCTAAGATTTTTTTTTCTCTCTGTTCCTTTTTTATGATACCGTTTCATTTCAGTGGGGATCTTTTCTTTGGAGCCATTTGGTTTCTCTAGAAAGGACTCCTAAGTTTTGGTAGGGTAGAAAAAGAGGGCTGAGGACCCCAGAGTTTATATGGTGGCTTTTCCTTAATCTCCTACTTTCAGCGTCCCTATGTCCTGACCCGCCCCACTCCAGCCTTCTGTGGATGGTGATATCCACATTCAGTTTCTCATTCAGTTTCTTCTGTGCATAGAGGTTGGGTGGGTTGTCTGGCTGTGGAAAGTGGGAAGAAGACGTGGGGTCCAGTTGCTTTTTATACAGATTTCTAGTCCTATATTCAGCTGTATACTTCACTCCCTTTTTCTGTAACACCTGGTACTTCCAAGTCCTGAACTTATTAGGTGCTAGGTAGAATGTATTTGTTGGCTTCTCTCTTCTGGGGACTAAGGCTTTAACTTCCTCCATTCTGCTAGATTAGTTATCACACCTCCTCTTGTTTTCTATTTTTATGAACGTTATTAAAATCTCATGGCTGTATAGCCTGTTTTCTTTGTCTTTATGGACTAATACCATTTATATTCCTTTGATCTCTTTTTGGTGGGGTTTGGAGGTAGAGAAAACAAATATAAGTGGTCAGTCTACTGTATTTAACTGGAAGTCTAGATTTCAATTCAGATAGTGTGCAGAAAATAAAACTGTGTGTATTATTCTGTAATTTATTGTTTCCACTTTCTAATGACTTTTAACTAATATGATTCTACTGTACTACCTACCTTATAGAGTTGTTGTGAGGATTAGAAGAATCAATACATCTGAAGCAATTAGAACAGTGCCTGACACTTGGTGTGTGTTAAATCAGTGTTAGCTATTATTAATATTGTTGCTACCATTATTATTTTTACTACTATCACCCTTATTTCAGTAATCCATTAGATCTAAATTAAAATGTTTTCATCACAGGAAGAATTATTGACATATGGAAAAATCTAGTGTTTGATAATATTGACCCTCATTTAACTAGACTTCACATGGAATGTTCAGGGGTTAGATGTAATCTTTCGAAGATACATGAAAGCCTTAAAAAATCCAATCAGTAGTGATTACTGCATACGATTTTAAAAGCATATAATAACAATTTTGATGTGTTTTTAAGCTTTATTGGTATTGTGTTTTGATCATCTAAATGTGAAGTATAGAAAATAAATTTATGGAGGTGATGTTTATTATGCCTTTCCTACAGCCAGTAAATGTATACTCTTTGAGTATATAGAGTATAGAAATGGACAAACAGTGGACTCCAGTCACTGGATCTATGACCTTGTCAGTGGTTGTATAGTTTTCAGAAAATGTTGTGAAGTTATAAATCAAAATGTCTGCATTTGCTCAGTTAAAGTATCTTCTTTGTATCTAGATTGAGTGTATGATAATGCTGAATTCTAATTCTTAGAAGTGAAGTGGCATTAGGTGCTCACACTCCTCTTTTTATGGGTAGAGAGCTGCATACTTTGGGGAAGTTTTTTTATTTATAAGGAAATTTGCATTCTCTCTCACTGAAGTAGAGTCCCATGGTTGTGACAAATGGCTGTAAATATTAATACTATTAGAGGTGAGAAATTTTTCATTTTCTTTTTTTAAAGATTTTAGTTTTAAGTAATCTCGACATCCAACGTGGGTCTCGAACTTACAACCTTGAGATCAAGAGTTGCTCGCTCTACCAACTGAGCCAACCAGGCACCCCGAGATGAGAAATTTTTCTACAAAAGAAATAGCCAGTTACTTAGTGTGAATAAACTTCTTTGCAAATTATCAGGTTGACTTTGCTAGTATAGAATAAACAGGGAGACATGGCCAGGGTTAAAACCGTGCCTGCTATTAGCTTGATGTGGGCATTTTCCTCTTTCCCGATGGGAATATTATTGTGTGCCCTTACTATTTGCTTTGATATTTCATCTCTGAAGATTTAATGTCTACAGCTTTGGAGCCCTTATGCTGTCTTTTCTCCAAATGCAGTAACTAATCTTGTATATTTTCATAGGATAGAATTTTTCTTTTCTCATAATGTGCATTCCCCAAAAGAGTATTTTGTTGATCTCTGTGATAATAAAACATTTGTAACACTATGGGCCAGTTGCTTTACCACATTATAGCCTTGTAACAAAGATATTAAAGTGCAGGCATACAAAAACATCCAAAATATGCAGAACCAGGAGTGTAACTCATACATGACTGATCAGCATGATGAATATTTTGTTACTATATCCTGAAATACTAAGTGTTTAAATTAATCTGTTTATTAAAATTTTTTTTTAATGTTTATTTATTTTTGAGAAAGAGAGAGACAGAGTACGAGCAGGGGAGAGGCAGAGAGAGAAAGGGAGACACAGAATCTGAAGCAGGCTCCAGGCTCTGAGCTGTTAGCACAGAGCCTGACGTGGGGCTCAAACTCACAAACTGTGAGATCATGACCTGAGCCGAAGTTGGACGCTTAACCAACTGAGCCACTCAGGCACCCCTAATCTGTTTATTTTATTTAGTATTTTAGTTTATATGCTTTTGGGCTACAGTTAGTTGCTGAATAAATAGACACACACAGAATTTACAGCAGGATATATTAGCTTTTTATTAACTGTGATAGATAAATGAATCAATGTACAGGGATAT